TAAATGATGATGAATTATAAGATCGGAAATTTGGCCACAAAACAAAAAAGTGGTGGCTTTAGACTGCGTGCATCATAAGAGTCATAACATAACTTAATAAAATAATCACAATCACAAATTACACAGGGTCATTCAATTGGTTTAGTTTATTCACTTATTTTGGCGATTGCACACAAGCCATCTGGCAAAAATTTATTGGCTTTTATTTATTATTATTTGGTGTTAGGGCGATTTACCGTCGATAGCACGTGTCGAAGCGAAATGTAAAATGCGATATTGATGAGCAGGTTGGTTTACATTGATATTGATATGTGGAGTAAAGCTCAGGATTTGACAAATTATTTGAGAATGTATGTTGTCTTTACAACCATCAAAGTTTCGCGCGTGCATAACTTCGTTATTGTATTCTGGCCGTCGACAAACGCGTTGCAATAATGCAAATTTCGCATTTTCTTATATGGACAAAACTTACAAACACAACTCCCTAATTAGTATCAACGTCCTAATTTGGAAATGGAGGTATATTGGTATCCTAAGACATACTTAAACATTAAGTGGGAATACGACCTCTATCGATAAATAGCTCTTAATATCAAATCTTTTATCAAATTTGTATCGTATAACTAACTTTAAATGACATGCTAATTAGTAGCGTCATTGAAATTTAAATTACAAAAAATTTGTCGTAACCGTTTTTAACACGTCAATAACAAGAAGATTTGCGGTAAATTTCATCAACATTGATATCAAAGACGATCTCCTTTTTTGTAAAAACTCGCAAGTTACTTGTAACAAAGCCAGTAGTCTGTCCAACAAGTGCAATAAGATATTACAATGTACAAGGAGCATAAACTATCTTTTTAGTTTTTGTAATTCACTCGCCGTCTGTGAGAGATGGATCAACAATGTTAAAAGTAAGTTTAAAACGACAAATATCATCGTTGAAGCGATAAATAAATTTATTGATGTTGACTCGAGATGTTGACATGTGCTGTAACAGGGATTATCATTTCAAATTAGGATGAGTGATCCTAATTAGGGAACTGTGTTTGCAAACGCACGAAATTTGAGGAGAGGTTCTTAAGTTTCGTAATGTAACACAATGTGGGTTGTAAATGTCCAATTTCGCGTTATCAGGTAATACGCCACCCTCAATTAACTTGACTATATGTATGCACCTTTTTATCATCTTCAAGATAAGGAGCTAGCTCTTTATATGCCTCGTATGCAATGATTAGGAAAATCTCCAAAAGTGAGCTGACAGTATAAGTAATAGCAGTCCAACCCCCTGCATAAACTAGATAATAATAATACCTGAGCCATGTGTTACCGACTTGTATAACGTGAATTCGAAAATGTAATAGTAAAGTAAATTTTTATGTAAACGTTAAAATAGAGCATAGATGAATGCATTCTACTGCGACTATAACAATAATAAATACAAGGTGATCCCGGGGATTAATCAAAATCTACGCCTAAGTGAGTCTAATGGTAATTACTTGGGTGTTACTTGGGTATTATATCGCATGATGTTTAGCAAACTACTTGTTTCTATCGGCCATTCACAATCTCTTCGGGAAAAAGACTTGATAATCAATTAGTAATAACCAAATTCTTACTACGACGCAACTGACAATAAACAATATTCTTGAAATGATGTATTAAATTAGTAGTTTTAGCAAATCAGACTTCTCTACAAGCCATACTATCAATGATTCTCTCACTCTTGTGATAGCTCCACATAATTGGCTAATAAAATTAGTGAGAATTGTGTTAGAACAGTTTGCATAAGCTTGTAAAAGAAAAAATCCCATTAGACTCACCGGGAAACAACCCTACGCTTCCATCAGGAGCTGTGCCTTGCCACCAATCGTCAGATTCAAATGTAATATTGGTTATAACTGCACCTTCAGCGAAGCTTATTTCGTTCGGTTCATCAGCAGTGTAAGAATATATTGCTACCGCCGTGTAGCCAGAATCTTCTTCACCCGCGTTATCATAAGCTTCAGGTTCGGGCTCGGGTTCGGGTTCAGGTTCAGGCTCAGGCTCAGTTGCGGCTGCGGTTACCTCATCAGACTCGATTATTTCCACGTAATTGGCTGTTTATAGCAGACAAACATCACATTAACCGGGTATCATACTGAAAAGATGTCAAAAATGTGCATACAAGCTTACCTGGAAATAGTCCAGACTTCTTGCCATCATCACCTTCGCCTTGCCACCATCCTTCATCCAGTTGAACGATATTGGTAATAATTTCGCCTTCAACTAGGGACATCTCATTACTTTCTCCTAATGTGACAAAGTAAGTAAGCTCGCGTCCATCAAATAGGCCCCCGCCTGCCCGTCATCTAACATGTACCTGCATCATAAGAATATACAACGACTGCAGACACTGGTTGAGCTGCGTGATCGTGGCTCTAAACATAGAGATCGATTAAACCTTTAATAAAGCAATCAACAGATAATGTAAGATTGGGAAATCAAAAATTGTTTTCACCGAATCGGCTTCTTGCTGTTGTTGTAGTAACTCTGCCTATAATTCAAGTAAGTATCAGCTAATGAACAACTCGATTAAATTGTCAGACGTAAAGGTTTACATCATTCACCTCGCGCTCTTCTTGCTCCCTTCGTTCTTGTTCTTCTCGCTCCTCTCGTTCTCTCTGTTCGTGCTCTTCTCTTTCGTAACGTTCCTGTTCCTCACGCTCGCGTCTTTCCTCTTCTTCTGCTTCTCTTCTTTCTCTTTCTTCTCGCTCCCTCCATTCGCGCTCTTCCCCTTCGTAACGTTCCCGTTCCTCTCTTTCGTGGCGCTCTCGCTCCTCCCGTTCTTTCCGTTCTCGTTCCCTCCGTTCACGATCTTCTCTATCGCTCCGATCTCGCTCCTCCCGTTCTTTCCGATCTCGCTCCCTCCGTTCACGATCTTCTTTTTCGGAACGTTCTCGCTCTTCTCTCTTGTGACGATCTTGCTCCTCACGCTCACGTCTTTTCCTCTCTTCCCTCTCTTCCCTCTCTTTACTTTCCCGTTCTTCACGTTCTCGTTCTTCACGCTCTCGTTGTAAACGCATCTGTACAGGAGAAGGTTTGCTCTCTTCAGCAGTTGCCCAAGTCGAACGTGTGCCAAGAGGTTTTGGCGTCGGAAGTTCTGTCCTTTGGTATGATGTTCCCTGCGATTTGTAGTTGAAGGATATTTACTAAGCAAGAAACTGAAAGAATCATCAGACGTTTTATCACGTACCACGGGCTTAATTGGGGCTTTTCGCGCAGATTCGCGCTGCATGGCCGCAATATCCGGTATTTGCTCTCGTTTATAAACAGAGTTCTGAATAAAAATTTTGCGGCGAATGAGACCCTTACTCCTAATTGCTGTTATATGCAGAATATTATTATTGACCTACCACAGGGAGGATAGGTTCTGGCTTTTGTGGCGCCTCTTTGTGAATAGAATACTTTGAACCACCACTTTCTTCGATACGCTTCATTATATAGGCTGGCTCGACATCTGTCTACAAAATTCAAGCCGGATCAATGAGCAGGATTGCAAAGTGCGCGCCAAAAAGCATAACAATTGCACGTTCCATACCTCGGATCGGGCGTGAATTTGAAGATGGTAGCCCTTTTATTAGCACAAGAAGCCGCTTAGAGATGTATATTTGCATAGCCAACGCTTTTGCTGTAATTATTGATTTTAAACCTCATACCTTCAAGAAGCTGTTTGAAACTTCGTTAAAATGCGAGTTAAATAACCCTTTTTTCACTTCAGGAACTCCCTCGCCACACTTTCAACCCGAGAATTAACATAAATAGATTAACGAGAGAAGAGAAAGAGCAAAGTATTAAGCAAACATGCTACATACCCAGCCGATGAGCACGAGTTTTGGCAATTCCGTGTTGGGATCGATAATTCTTACGAAGGCATATTGGATTTTACCGTCATTAAATTCGTCTTCCAATTCTTCTAATCCACCTCCTGCGACAAAAGTCGAAAATCTTTCGCTAAGAATGTGTTCTGCCAAACGATCGCGTAGTTTTTGGATCACACATTTATCGGTTTACCTCCACTACCCAGCACTTTTAAATCGTTTGTTCCTTTGTCATAACCAAATAGACCCCAGTTAACATCTTGGTCGCCGTTCAAGACAGCTTTGTATGTAGCATTTAAATCTTTGGAATGTGTAGCGAAATTAACTTTGAGAGACATGTTTCGAGGGAGGATAATTAAAAGAATCTGTCACAAACAACGCAGCAAAAAGAAAAAAAAAGCTTTTTGTACTCAAACTTAACTTTTATGGTGATTTTCGCAATACATAAATATATACTGTAACCCGTTGTTTAAATTTGGGGCATGTATGAATTAATTCGTTCATGGCAAACCTACCGCCCGAAATATGGAAAGAGATTGTAGATTCGTTCTCTGACAACCACAGCTTACGTTCCTTACTATTAGTCAACAAAAGCTTTAGCTCTCTCGCCGTAAGAAAGCTGTATGTAAGAGTCGTCATTGGCTCATCAGCACAATTCAACAAGTTTGCTGACACGATCGCAGCTCTGAACAACAAGGGCTACTACGACTATACGACGTTTGTACGTGCCATAACCATTAACACCTTTAAACGAGAAGCTAGCTTTCCCTGGTTCCGTCTTCCGAGTATCTTTGCTCTCTGCGAGAACGTCGATGGACTTCTCATAGGTCCTACAGAACAGTATGCCGATAGACAAACTGTTTCCGTGCTCGAAGACATGCCTTCGGTGACATTGGTGACGCGCTGTCTGGCCATAATCATCGAAATGCTTGCATCGCGCTCGATTCGACGGCTGTGTCTACGATCATTGAGATTCTTGGCCGAATTTCAACGCAACGGCGTACACTTTTCGGCAGCCCTTGGAAAGTTGCGCGATCTTCAGAGTTTGGAACTCTGGCACGAAAGTGGACGACCATTAGGAGACGGAGGTAAGAAGTGTATAGTGCAGCTTGTGCAAATGAACGATCTCAAAGAACTTCATCTGGATACTTTTGTCACGGATGAATTGGAACTGGACAATGCCTTGACCATTTTCGAAAATTCACCCAATCTCGAGTCGCTGACTTGGTGGGGTACGCACTTTAATAAAGATGATGAGGATTATTTGTATCGTACTATATTTAAAGAATGTACAAAGTTGCATAAGCTTATTGTGGAAGTATCTGGATTTCAAGAAGGTGATGACTTTCTCCGTCTCTCGAGACACAGTCAGGGATTGGAAGAACTCACGACCTGGTGCGATATTGGCATTGGCGCTCTACCACTTTCCACTTTTATGACATTTATAATTAGAAATGCTTCTACTTTGAAGCATGTTAATGCTTTGATCTCTCTTGCTGGTCCGCCGGTTAATCGACGTGTTCGTAATAATAATTCTAATCGTAATACCTTTGAGCGCGAGTCGGAATCTGAGGAAGAGGATGAAGAAGAGGAGGACGAAGAAGGAGAATATGATGACGAAGTGTTGCACAATTTATCATCGTTTTATCACCCTAATCATACCGACTCGTATGCCGAGTGGGTGCAGTCGCTCTTTGAGATTTTCCAAGAGACGAACAGAGAATGGAATATTAATTATGACACTTCTGTCTCTTTATCTCATACTCGATTTTCACTTGTGCTGAATGAATATAGACAAGACATAGAGAAAAATTGGCAAACATTGATTGATAAACACGTTGGACAAGTTGTATCTAATATTTGTCAGAACATAGATCGTCTAAAGATTTTTCTAACGTTTTGGTGATATATTCGGTGAACCATCAGTAGCGATAGACTGTATTATTTTATTGTAGAAGATTTGCTTTTTCTATATTTATATTGTAGTGCTAAATTATTGCTTTTTATTATTTTACTAATTATTTTATTATCTGAATAATTAGAAAATATAATTTATTCAGAGTTTTATTGTTGGTTTGTTTCCTCTTTAATATTTTAATGATAATTGCGGTGCTGACAAATGTGCAGGTCGAAGGGACCATAAGATGACACAATAGAGAAAACACTGCAGCCTTTTGCGATGGCTTACAATTGTTTAGTTTCGTGTTTATTTAGTAGGTGATGATGATTCATTAAAGGTATGTATTATTCGTAAACATTTCTCAATTATGATACAAATCAACCCTCGTAACCAGTACGAAAATCCAAGTAAAAGTCTCCAATAATAAAACATTTCTATAATATCACAACATAACTATTATTAGATTGTTTTTATATCGGAATCATGTCGTCTACCCTGAATTAGTCCTCGTCAGAGTCCGATAAACTATCGTTCAGTTCCGTCAGACCAATGTTCTCTTCACCGAACGCATGCAATAGTGTTGCTTCTCTTCGCATTGCGAGGGAGGTATTGCCATCACTCGACAATGGTAGCATTCCATTACCATTACGGCTCATCGGTAACCTGTCCTCGTATGTGGAGCATTTTGATCGTGCTGTGTTGAGAAGATAGACTCCAGAGAATATTGTGAGAAACCCGCAGAAAAGAGTAATCACATGAACGGCTCGGCTTGTGTTGAATCCTTGGAAAAGGATTGCCGATGCTCCGATTGTTGATGTTGTAAACAAGACGTAGTATATTGGATTTACTCTGGTGAATGGGAAGAGAATGCAGATAAAGCAGCAGCAGCAGCAGCAGCAGCAGAAAAAGCACAGGGAGAGAGAAGAGAAAAAGGTCAGTTTCAAATGCTTACGAGATTAACAACGACACACGATATATCATAATAAAGAAACTACTTACAAATTAGTTGAGAATTGGTCAAGAGCTTTGTTAAAGTAATTCATTTGAGTTATGATACACAAAGTGGCAATTATGATAAAGACATATGTAGAGGGATGTGTCAATTGGTTATTTCCAGCAAAAGTCAGCTTCAGAGCAATACCAAACGCCTTGCACGCCATGACTGTGATTGAACCAACTAGCGAGCAAATAGATAGATAAACTAATGGATTCTTCTTGCCGTATTTAGGTACAACAGTCGTAATCATGAAAATAGTAAATGCTACCACAAGTACGCAATAAACCAGAAAGCCAGGTCGCAATGCATACACTAATATTTCATCGACTGTGCGTATCTGCCTGTCTCTCGGTGCGTGGAGTATTATGATCACTGAACCAATCAAGCATAATCCACATCCAACAGTTCCTATCCGTCCTAGTTTCTCATTCAGAAATATCGACGCCAGTATGGCCCCAATCAAGACGCTTAACGCACCAAGCGGCGTCACTAGTATGGCAGGTGCAAATGAGTATGCTGCAAAATTTAATAATTCGCCAGAAACCACTACGATAAGAAGGGAGAGAGAGAGAGAGAGAGAGAGAGAGAGAGAAAAGAGACCAAATCGTAAGAAGAAAGAAAAGCAAATAAACGGTATTATCGACTAGGATCAACTGAATAATATATATCCTCGAAATGAGTTGACATACTTGTTAACATTCCCATCCACCAAATTGGATTTCGTAGATAACTGTGGTCATCTCCTGCAAACCCTGCAACAGGAGAAAAGAATATGTTTATTTGGATTAACAAAGATCGTTTATAACAAAAAGTCGCAAGTATCGTAAACAGTAAGCTTTCTTATAATATAGTATCTATGTTAAATTACTACATTCTTGCTCCGCGAACGAAGAAATCTCGGAACCAAGTAAAACGAACCAAGGCCATACAATGAGTATGTGATGGCAACTACGAGGCTAACTCTAGAATATACCTCGAATATGTGCTCTGTCGTAATCTACTTTACATACCATGTTTGCTATTGGCATCAATTAAACCTTTCTTCGTGATTATAAAGGAGGTGCCAATTGCCAAACTAGAGAAGATGGCTAATGCCAGTCCAATATATCTGTCCTCTACCATGTGGTCTATATATAAGGATCGTATACACTAGAACTCTCGAGTACGTTTAATTCCTTATAAAGCCCTCAGCGTCACCAGGAAATAGAAAAAGAAAGGGAAAAAAAAAAGAGCGAGAGGGAAATAACCCAGAGTATATATATTATATTTATATTTATATATAAAGAAAGGAATGGTATGGGTTCCTTGAGCTATTTCAAGGAAGTTTCTTTATTTACTCTGTTTACAATCGGAGATAAAAATAAACCGGTTGCACACAGAGAGTCTGGTGAAAACTGGCAGGTGAGGGGGTGGGGGTGAAGTATAGATAGAAAGGATATAATGAAGAAAGTTTTAGGCAGCCTGCATGTAAAATTATAAACAACCCTTCAATTTGTTCGTGTTACTGTATAGAATGGGTACATTAACATATACGATATATAAATATAGATATTGATGAACAACATCTTTATCGGATAAATAACTTTTTACTTGGCAAAAAAAAAAAAAAAAGTCATTTATTTCGGATTAAAAATATACATGGTTTTTTTTTTCGACTAAGACTGGAATGTTGTAATCTTGCAACTGTCCCTTACTGAACTCAACACTTCTGAAGTCTTTTGACTTCCATCGCCGCAAATACATCCCACCCTGAAATTGGTGATTATGTACGGCACGTAACAAACATTCATTAGCGGAGTAACGTCACACTTTTCAGAACAATTCGATTTAAATAGGCCACATATATCCTTTGAGATGCACGTAGAATCGATCGAGAAAAGGGTCGGTTGCATGGCTTTGACAAGTTCGCTCGTAAAATCTAGATTGCTGCACGAACACTGAACCTGCAGTTGATTGTTTCCAAGGCTACTGCAAGAATTGATTTTGACACTGGCGCATTTCGATTCTCGTTTCAGGGCGCAAAGAGAAGAAAAGACGCTGCATGCTTCATCGGCAAATTTACTTTCTACTGTCGTGATTTGAGGTTTAGGGGGTGTGGTTTTTGTTGGAGTTTGGTTGGGATCAGGGTTTAGCTTGCCATTTATCTCGTCTTCATGACGATCGAATTCTGCAATGAAAAGTCGATTGATCGGTTCGTTAGTTTGTCTGAAATCCTCACGAGACCCAACCCCACATTCATTTTACTCACCAGAGTCGGTGACACTGATACAGGTAGTATCGAGTTTGTTCGGAACTCCTGACTCGCTCGGTCGGCATCCATTGGCTACTACAACACCAGTACTAGTCTTCCGACATTCCGCCTTAAACATGTCACAAAATTTGTCATCTTCTAGTTTCGAAACTTGTATTGTCTTTGGTTGGAATATCTGTGCAGCCGCATAAGATTTCCACCGAACCAAACCACAGGTGCAGTCGAGCGAGGCGTGGTTACTTCCTTGCGCAATGTCGCAAGAGCTGAACGATAATTGTCCACCGCACACACTTTTACAAGACAGAGTAAACAGTGAACATGGAGTGACAGAAGATTCGAAATACTCTGGTGCAATATCTATTTTTATCGTCTTTGAGTCAGAGTTGGTAGCATAGGTGACAGGTACGATGGCAAGAGCGACATAGACAAGAAGACATGCGAGTTTGGTCATTTGGAAGATTGCAGTGTGTGTAATAGTAAAGTAACAGTGTCGAGCTGTGCCAGTCTTATTAGTATTACAACGTTAAGGACTTGATTGGCCCAAAAAGGAGTTTAGCGTTAATATGGTAAACTCAGTCACTCGATTCATTTGCTTGTTAGAAAGGGTTATTTGTACATGTCCTGTGTGTAAATTGTCTTATTTAACTGCTCATTTTCGTGGGTATAATTCTCAGCCCCAGCAGTTCTACAAAGGTAGCCTTAATAGCAGAACACGCCACATAATAAACAATTGTTCTGAATGTGGCCGTGCTAGATAATTTCTCCACGGTTACACAGTATGTTGTCATCTATGATTCACTTTTAATCGTGTGCAAATATTAATAATGATAAACGCAATTTAAAGAACGGGTCAAGTCAATCTAACGCTTGCGAGTTAGTACAGGAAATATTAATGAGAATTAATTTGAGTTTCCTAGTTAATTTAATATAGGCTGGACGAGTCACTTGAACGAGCGAAATGATTATTATCGGTCGATTGCGTATGATGTCATGGTCAAAAAGCACATACCGAATGCGAATTCACTTTTTGAATATCATATGACTTATAGAACTGTAACTGTGTCCTGTGCATTCTGCAATTAAAGTTTCAACCTCAAATTTGTAATACTATCTGCACGCAAAAGACTTTCACTGGTCCCAGTATCATTGCAGGCTTTCTTGAGCCATGCCTATACCAAAACTCGAATTATTAATAATAGGCCGCGCCGTCTACACACAGCCACAAGGGCAGTGACCGTTTCATCGCAGGTATGTCTAACGAAGAATGCATAACAGCACTAATACTATTGTATATAGGGCAACGCTTACAGCTAGGCTCATGATGAAGAGAAGTTGTCAGAATATCTAATAGAATAACATGTTATTGCCGCAACGGGATCACGTCTTCATTTCGCGTATATAACATACTTGGTATTTCAAATATGAATGTGTCATAAACGCTAAACTTCTGAATTTAGAGCACCTGATTAATGAACACACGGCCCGCTAAATAATTTAGGCGCAATTCCGTTTATTGGTACTGTGAATAAACCTCCGCCATATACAGCAAATTTTGACAGTATGCAAGCCAAATTGACATACTAGTTCGGAGATGAGTTATTATATTCGCACAAGTTGAACAATATACTAAGGCATTTCCTTCCTGATTCAATAACAACCATCGAATAATAAATACAGGTATTATTTCCAACAGAACTGATGTGAGTGTTTAGTATATCGATTATTTTCCGAAGCCAATTATACCTTAATATTAACAAACATTAAGTGATACTACAAGGAGGTCAAGTATCATGTGATTCAAAAAAGTTGGAACCTGTTTCGTAACATCGTACCAGCTAAAGAACTTATAAATTATAGACTAGTTAAAACATAGCAACTAGAAAGAAGGAGAGAATGAAGCGTTTTACCTTTTGGTTTAAGGGAGGCAGGGAGGGTTTTTATGTAGATGTTGAGCACGCATTTGTTTACATGTCGTTTAGTGGAAGTGTTTGCGTCTGTTGTATAAAGTCTTTCACGATAGTATTAAGATCGAGAAAAACGCGTCATGAATCCTGATATACAGTATAATAAAAAAATATCCGTTTGAGCATCGTATATGATACGCCAACCATATCTCAAGACTTGATATTGAATCGCGTCCTTCTTGTCTCAAGCGTTTTCCTCTCAGTATTTAGCATGGGACAAAGCGTCTCTGAAATATAAGACAATAAATAAGTATAAGTTTTTATGTATATTCGGAAGTACTATATTCCACTCATTCCACAATCACAACGTTCACGTAATTAGTAGCTTAATCTTGTACACACAAACTATAAAAAACCGCCATATTGAACTTATTCTCGAATTCACTGACCGTCTTTCGCTTTATACTTACTGGAAGTGGCCACTAGAACGATGGAATGAATCATTATTTCCCTCTTTCTCGGCACTTAATCCCATACAGGCAGTTCAGCTGTCACAGTTACACCCATTAAAAATATCAAAATACGACTTTTTAATTATCAACGGTATGTAATTACTCCTACGGACTTAAAAGCCATACTATACTATGCCAGACCCCTACGGTAATCAACAGCTTTAACCATATGAACGGCAAGGCTGGCTTTACGAATGTTATCATCACTGAGTAATTGATGTAAACTACGCGAGAGGCGTAACCTCCCAAAACTGATATTCTGGTTTAATACATATGGATAGCCCATTGGAAGACGCTGCGTGATCTAAGAATATCGCTACCATGCGTCTTTTAATATCTTAAGGTTATAGTACAAGCAGAAAACAAACAAACGATACAAGTTAAAGGACAACTGTTATTCCTGCCAATGTGATAAACCCCACGAGTATACAGTGAAAACTGTTTATACTGTATCCATATATACCGTTTTTGCTATAACGGCCATTCTAAATTGCCTATAAGGGGTCGAAATTTTGCTGGACCAAGTTCGTCACAAAATCACAGTAAATAAACCTCTATGTGTTCTATTTTACTTCCCTGTACCTACCATGTCAAATCAATAAATAAAACGAAAAGGGTTTTCTCACTGCTTTACGGAAAAGGGAAACTTAACAATTCAAGTCACTTATATTAATTTGTGCAGTATGATTGGTTACATACTCCCATTATTGAAATAGTCCTATCCGAGAGTAATGAGCAAGATACAAATGATTGTAATGACAGCGGAGTCAGAAAAAGATTTCGAATTTATTGAACAACAGCACGAGAAG